TCGTCAGCCATGGTTTCCAAGCTCAATCTTAAGGTGACCCCTCACCCAAATCCGTATAAGGTTTCGTGGATCAACTCTACTACCATAGAAATTAAGGATCGAAGCCTTATTCCTATAGAATTTGTGGGATATCAGGATAAGATTTGGTGTGATGTTTTAACTATGGACGTAGGTCAAATTATCCTTGGTCGCCCTTGGCTATTTGACAATGACGTCCATATTTATGGGAGGACGAACACCTGTGTGTTCGAACATAATGGAAAGAAGATCAAGTTAATGCCCTCTCAACCTAAACCTCCCAAGACTGAAGCAAAGCCTATCCCTGTCAAGCAAAGTAAAGGTCTCCAATTATTGACTGCGAAAGAGGTGGAAACTGAGATCACCCAAGGAGCACCCATGTATGCCCTAGTGGCTAGAGAAGTAGATGAGGACCAAAAAGAACCAATCCCCGATGCTGTTAAGCCTCTTCTTAAAAGCTTTGCTGATGTCTTCCCAGACGATTTGCCTAACCAACTGCCACCCCTGCGGGACATACAGCACGCGATAGATTTGGTTCCAGGAGCATCCCTACCCAACCTCCCTCACTACCGTATGAACCCAACTGAACATTCTGAGCTTAAGAAACAAGTCGATGAACTCCTACAACGAGGATTCATTAAGGAAAGCCTTAGTCCATGCGCTGTTCTTGCACTTTTAACTCCCAAAAAGGACGGCTCGTGGCGGATGTGTGTTGATAGCCGCGCTATCAACAAGATTTCTGTCAAGTATAGGTTTCCCATTCCCCGATTAGATGACATGTTGGACATGATGACTGGAGCAACCCTCTTTTCCAAGATAGATCTTAAGAGTGGGTACCATCAAATTAGAATCCGTCCAGGGGATGAGTGGAAGACGGCATTCAAAACTAAAGATGGACTTTATGAATGGACTGTCATGCCGTTTGGTCTGAGCAACGCCCCTAGTACCTTTATGAGGGTTATGACTCAAGTTCTGAGGCCTTTCTTAGGGAAGTTCGTAGTAGTTTACTTTGATGACATCTTAATCTACAGCACGTTGGTGGATCAACATCTCAATCATATAACACAAGTCTGTGAAGTTTTGAGGAGAGAACAGCTGTTCGCTAACCCTGCTAAGTGTAAATTCCTCACCGATAGTGTGACCTTTCTTGGATTCATCATTTCAACTCAGGGGATATATGCGGACCCAGAAAAGGTGCGAGCTATAAATGAGTGGCCAGAACCTAAGAATATACGGGATGTTAGAAGTTTCCATAGATTGGCTACTTTCTATCAGAGGTTTATTCAAAATTTCAGCACCATTGTAGCCCCCATAACTAATTATCTTAAGAAAGGAGAATTCCATTGGACGACTGCAGCGACCAGAGCTTTTGAGGATATTAAGAAGAAAATGGTAGAAGCTCCTATTATGCGTCTCCTAGATTTTTCCAAAGTGTTTGAAGTAACCTGTGACGCATCAGGGATCGGAATAGGAGGAGTCTTATCACAAGAGGGACATCCTGTAGCATACTTTAGCGAGAAACTTAATGACATACGACAGAGATACTCTACCTACGATAAGGAGTTTTATGCAATCATTCAGTCCCTTAGGTATTGGAGACACTACTTGCTACCTCAGGAGTTTGTAATATTTTCGTATCATGAGGCTTTGAGATACATCAACTCCCAAAAGAAGTTAAACGCCCGTCATGGTCGTTGGGTTGAATTCTTACAAGAATATTCGTACACTATCAGACATAAAGCCGGAATTGAAAACAAAGCAGCCGATGCTTTGAGCCGTAGGATAATGGTCACCAGAGAAATGAGAACAGAAGTTGTCAGATTTGAACGCATCAAGGATGACTATCAAGAGTGTACTGATTTTAAAGAAATATATGCGTTACTAATAGCGGGGGATAAGCCATCTGTAGATGATTTCTTGTTAGAGGATGGTTACTTATTCAAGTCTTAGAAGTTGTGTATTCCCAACACCTCTCTTCGTGAATTTCTTGTGTGGGAACTACACGCAGGAGGCTTAGCTGGACATTTTGGACAGGCTAAGACCATTGCAATCGTCGAGTATAGATTTTTCTGGCCAAGCCTTAAGCGTGATGTCACTAGACTGATCAAACGTTGCCATACCGGCCAACTAGCTAAACAGAGAAAACAGAACACAGGCCTCTACATGCCACTCCCAGTCCCTAACTGCCCTTGGCAAGACGTTAGTATGGATTTTGTCCTAGGTCTACCCAAAACCATTAGGAAGCACGATTCCATCTGTGTCGTAGTAGATCGCTTCTCTAAGATGGCCCACTTCCTCCCTTGTGCTAAAACTTTCGATGCCTCTAGGATTGCCAAACTTTACTTTAATGAGATCGTCTGACTCCATGGACTCCCTAAGACAATTGTGTCGGATCGAGATGTAAAATTTACTGTTGCCCAAGGGCATTGTAGTCTTTTACTTTCCGTATGCTTGTTGAGCCTATATAAAGGCTTGGTCTTTGTATTTTGCAATTGCTCAGTGAAATGAAATTTGCTTTCTTTGTTCTCTTTGTGAGTGCATGAAAAGATCTCTTAGTGAGTTCTTCCTTTGAGATCTCTTAGTGAGTTCTCTAGTTTTATTTTATTTGTTGTTCATCATCTCCCTCTCATTAGAAACCCCACAAAATCCCCTTCCCCAAACCCTAGCCGCCGGCCCTCCTTGGATCATGCCGCCGGCCACCACCACCATCCTGGCCAACCACCTCCCCGCCGCTCCTTCCCCTTCCGGCCAACTCCCCTCCTTCATCCTATGCTGAATTTGAAATTTAGAATTCAAATTTTGAATTCTTTCCAAATTTGGAATTCCAAATTATGAAAGTTTTCATGAGTGAATAAATTTCAAATCAATTTAATTTGGAGTTTTAAGCCCCTTGCCACGTCATCAAATCAAGTTTTAAATCCCTTCCCCCTCTCCCCAAATTTCTCCCTCTCTTCCTATGCATGCCGCCGGCCCCCTCCTTGGTGGACCCCCATTTAATTACTACATTAACTCTCTTGATTCTAATTTGAAATTCAAATTAGGATTAATTAATTTTCCTTCCTACTTGGATTAAAACTGAAATAATTTCAGTTTAATCCCTCTGCCCCTCCCTTTTCTTCCACCGCCGGCCTCCTCTCTCTCTCCCCATTAATTCTTCATTAAGGAATTAATTACTCTCTTATTGGAATTCAAATTTCCCCTCCGAAATTCTCCAAAACTGAAATTTCTCTCAGTTTTTATCTTTGTTTTCTAAACCCATCTCTCCTCACCCCACATCCACCGCCGGCCTCCTCACCCCTTCTACAACCCGCTGCCCCCCATCTCTCGTCCTTGGAGAATTATTTATGGTGACCACCCTTTCACCTCTTCAAGGATGCATGGAAGTTCCCGAGTGGAATTTCGGGTTTGAGTACGACAACCGTGGACGAGTTAACATCCTCAGATCTCCTTTTTTTGACGTCGGCTTTGACTTCGATGACACCGTCGAAGAGTATTTGGACCGGATCCTCCCAGCTTTAGTGGAGTCCATAGACGATCATTTCTCCATCTACACGTGGATCATCAAAGGGCGTCATTACACACCACCTCCACGTCCGGCGCCATCCTCTTCTTCCCTACGGATCTACGGCATCGTCGTCCTCGGAGTGGTTTCATCACTAGCATGTTTCTTCTTCTCCCTACGAACCTAGAAGTAGATGAATGAGCGTGGCCTCAAGGTGAGACAATCACTTTGTTAACCGCCGGATTCTTGTTGACCATTCATTTCCATTACTTTATTGAAGATGTTATTTTATAGAACTTGTAAACTTAGTTGAAGTTGCTTGCCTAGACTTTGTTAACTTCTAAGATTTTCATTGAATCGTCAAATTAGCGAAGCTTGGGATTGTATTATCAATACTTTAACGAACTTCTATTAATTTTCAGCGAAACAATTCCTGGTATCACATCACTTCTTATCTCATCCTAACTCATTTAGGATATTTTTGGAATGATTGCAGTATTTTGTAAAGATGGTTATGAAGCTACTATGGGAAAAATAATATTTTTAAAAGATACTTTGGATGTTATATATATATATTTTAAATCAAACAGCTCTTTTCTTGAAGCTATGACACTTGGCAATTTGGATTGTAAACTATAGCATTCCACCATAAAAATTTGTAAAAAGCAACGAGAAAGCAACAAGAAAGCTGTAACCGAATAGAAAATATAGTTATGATCTGAAAAGCAAAACAGTAAGAAAGCTATCCCAGACGAACCCTTAGTTGGGCAAAGTAATTTTAACGCCATATTTTCTAGAGATACTCGGAACCTAGTGTTGTTCCTTTTTATGCTAGATCGATTTTATTCTTGCTTTATTGTGCCAATTGGACATTTTTAGACATATATAAAATTAATTAGAAAGAATTTTTTTTTTCTATTCAAAGTTTAGGCTATTACGCAAATCAGCTGCCCAAGTTTATTTTTGATATTAAATAAAGTTTTCTTATCCTAGAAAATATATTTTACCTTGACACGATGATTTTTGTCTTGGTACTTCATCTTATTTCCGTCAGCTTTTGGTTATTCTTATATTTTAATGGAAGTTTTAAACTTGAATAAGGACAAGAGATAAATTAGCTGCTGAAATATAAATTTGTAGGAGGTTGAGAAGCCTCAAGTCTTTGTTTTGTTAAGTTTTCATAATTTCATGTTAAGCACATAGTATAACTTGTACTAATTTTGCTAATTGATTAAGAACTCTTTTTAAGTTGTCTAGAAGGAAATTAGGGACGAAAAACTGGCTGTCAACCATTTGTCTGAATGACACTTTTTCTACATGGTTGTTTTTGAATTTCAGACCCTAAATTTATTGTGATTAAAAGTTCGACCTTCTTCTAGTTAAAGCAAGATGGTATAAACATTTTCTGGGATTCATCTTGAAATCTGTAGGAGTTACAATTCATAATGAAGTATGTAAATTGCATTCTATTGATCTGCAGATACCACTCCCCCGAAGGAACAAATCAAAGATTTTTCAAAAGATTTCTACTCAGCCGGCTTTGCTCCGGGTGCTATAATATACTTTTCATATGATCTCCCCAAAGGTTTGTTTTCTTGTTTAATTTGTTAGAATTTGAACATTTATGATCTGTGGTTATTTCTTCGTCCGTGTTTTGTTCGATATTGAAAAAAAAATTATCCGCTGAACAATAAAGATATTTCTGAAATAGGCTGCTAATTTAAGTCTTATGAACTCAGAAGGGTTGGGTTACCTATCCTAGTCTTATTATAATGTACTGTCTTATGCGAGCTTTATATTTTTTATAGAATATTCTTTTTAGGATGCACTACCAAAGCAGTTCCTTGGTGTTAATGTTTGGCTTCAGGTTATTACTGACAGAGGTTGCTTTCCTGATTTTGCTAGCCTGTAGTACATTTTTTTTTTTTTAAAAAAAAAAAAAGAAAGCAAGACCTTATTGTGTTGAATATTCACTCTTCTATTGTACGCTCTTAGGCTTCGTTTGAGACGGCTTTCTTACTACTTTTTAAAGCGGTTTTCTTGTACAAAATTTTTAATGTTTGTACTAAAAAGTCACTTTAAGAAGCAGGAGGAATGCTGTCCCAAACAAAGCCTTAATCAGTGTGATTTTTAAAATTTTTAGCATTTTACTCGAATTGCTTTTGATATTTTTTATTTCTCTGGTCCCTTAAATTCTTATGCCAATGTGATTAGAAACACCCGCAAGGCCCCAAAAAAGATTTAACTAACGACCAACAAGTCGAGCAAGAGAAATAGATGAGTAATCTAGATTTTTTAGATTTTGTTTTGGGGGTAAAGTATTGTTTCATTGGAACAAGAAACTTAGCAGATAAAAGTAATGAGGAAGAAACTTCTTTTAAACTCTTTTCTCCCCAGTCACTCCTACTTCTGTGTGTAAATCCTAGCACATGATTTCTCCTATTCTTTAAAGCTAAATTCTTTTGAATTATATGACACCCATTCTTATAGACAGAATATTGGCTACAGATTAAAAAAATGATAAAACCTTGTTTCAAGAAGTCTTGTGGAAGTTATATGGATATTATGTTGACTTCAATACTGAATTCGTTTGAAGAAATCATTATCATACTCCTAGAAGTTACAAGGATACAATATTTACTTTTCTGGGATAATGGGAACCAAACCAATATTGTAACTGCTAGACAACATTGTTCCTCACCGCAAAGTTACCCGGGGTTAGAGTCTTCTTGAAACCTTTTTTAAATCCCTCTCGGCATTACAAATTCTTCACGTCTTTTAAAAATCTCACTTCTCTATACAATAGTTCTCTTGGGATTTGTTAAAAATCCCAACCGTCCCTTAATTTGATCTCTGTTAAATCTCAGTTGTCCCTGGACACTTGACCCCGTGGCTAGGATAGGAATCCGTGGGAGGCTCACTTGGATCATGCCGATCTCCTTAAATATTTGGGTGGTTGATTTAGAAAGGATTATATTAGGGAAATTATGCATGATTCTGTAATTATTTGTTTCTTTATTATGTTGTCTTGTATAGATCTATAAATAGGGATAGTTTTGTATAATAAAATATAGTCTTTTCCTTCTTTAATTTTCTGAACTTAATATGGTATCAGAGGCAGATTCCCACCACTATGATATGCCTTGGTATAAAAAAAAAAGCCAACGAAAAAGAGAAATTCAGCAAAATAGCCAACGACAAGAGAAATTCAGCACCAAACAGATTTTTTATTATTAGGAAATCAAATAACAAAAACATGATATAATGATCCTCTTTTGAGATGAAGACCTCTCCCAAACCCTAGACGCCGCTAGGATTCCTCACACAAAGAAAACTACAACACTCAAAACAAAATCTACATAAACCTAAAATAAACCCTACTATGGACTTAAATAAGCTTCCTCTCTCCCTCCAAAATCAGCCTCCTTCCTAATATGTTTCCCTCCTTAATTTGAAAAATAATTCAATTAGGAAAGGTTTCAACGAGGAAAGAAAATCAATTTTGAATGGATTTTCTTCTAATATAATTTAAAAAACCTTCCTAAACAATTAAATATGATTTGGGAAACATTCTAAATAATTAAACATAATTTTAGAAATTTCTTAAACAATTAAATACTTTTTAAATAGTATAAACATAATTTAAGAAACTTTCCTAAATGATTAAACATGATTTAGGAAACCTTCTTTTAATACTTCAAGCACATACATTCAATATTTTGTTGATTACTAGCTGCTTTATTCCGCATAATATTAGCCTTCTCATGCACAATAATAATATTTAAATCTATAATTTTTTCTTCAATTCTATTAATTTCTACAACATTATCATTCAATCTCTTATTTATAATCACACATATACAATTTATTGTATGACTCTTACCTGAATACTATATTGTAAATCCTAAACTATCAATTTCTTTACCCTTTTCTCCAAGCCATTTAATTTCCTAACTGCATATAATATTTATCTTCTTATCATAATATCTTTTAATTTCATTAATTTGTTTATAAGTAAACCTATATTCCAAGTTTATATCATAATTCTAATTTCATGGACTTTTTTTTTTGCTACATTCATTCCTGAAGTTGGAGCATTTACTTATTTAACACTACACCCACGCACTGATACAGCAACCCTCACACATTTCATGCAAAATCCTTACTCGGCCTCTCCTGTACAAGATGTATGCCAAAGCCAGTTTTAGAGACCGACTTGAAACCCAGTTCTCTATATATTTTGTAGTTGGGCTTTCTGTAAGAGCCTTACAGAAAGTGTTACATTGTCTTTGCTTGATTGAATATTTCATCTTCCATGTAAGTCAATAAAATTTTTTTATTTTTTATTTTTTTGTATTTATAGATTCAGTGTTGAGCAAAGTTGCAAGTGCAGGGCCTTATCTTCGGGAAGATGTGTTGTCCTTGAATGGGTTAGATTTTGCTCGTGAGGTGATAAATCCTATTCATTCTGACCGTGAAATTCCCATAGTGGAGGCTTCCCGAGATGTTTCAGAGCCAGCACAATCTGCCAAGAAGAAGCAAAGTAAACCTAAGTGGCTCAAATTGTGAAGGTATGAGTTATATGTTTCTTTATGCATAATTAATATACTGCAACTAGGGAACTTATTTATTAGCTTTTTGCAATAAATGTTGAACCAAGTGCTACATCTTTTATTTTTAATCAAATAATGTTCTCCTCCATATGTGTGAAACTATTTATCAATTAAGATGATATTTTTATCCGGAATATTAAACTTGCATGATGAAGATAAAAAGAAGATATACTAGCCTAATTTGGCCATCTGAATACAGTCATGGGTTGGAGAGATTATTACGTGCGGAGTTCGGATCCGAAGAATTGTTTGGTTATGTGACAGTGAACAATAAAAGTATAGTAAAAACACTTTTATTATTCACTACTGCGTTTTTATTGTTCACAGTCATAAAATCGAATAGCTCTCTCTCTGCATTCAAACTCCTTAAAATATTTTAAATTAAAGAAGTGTAAATTTTTTTAAGATTTCAAAGATGAGATAAGTATTTTATTTTAGAATTTATGATGGGAATGGTTAAAATCAGAACAATTCTTTTTAGAGGTCAAGAGATGAAAAGTAGAGCAATAGATTCTAAAAAGCTCATAAATTTTTTATGTTTGGCTTAAAGTCTTGAAAATGGGAATTTACATAAAAATGGGAATTTACTGTTTATGTTGTATATTTTATTAAAAATTTGAGGCTTACATCTCTTCAACCCAAGATTGAAAATGCTTTTGAAGTGAGAGGTTATGATGTATCAAATTAGCATTATACCCTAAAACCAAAATGAGCATTGCAAAGTAGTAACTCATGTCTAAGTATAAAGAAATTCAATGAAATTTATAACTTTTGACCTATTAAGGGTTTTAAGAAAACCTGACTCAACTAAACTTATAATTCTGTTTGGATATGACTACCAGCTAAACACTTATAATCGTTTCAAAATCATGATGTTAATATCTTTATGTAATATAGGATAGGTTAGGCTATTGTTATTTTAGAAATTTGTGGCTTATAATTTATCCACCAGGCTAAGCTGCTTGGATATGAAGGTTGTGCAAATATTTCTATCTAATATAATTTTTTTTTTAATTATTTTATTTTATATACAAGATGGTTTTCTAGTTATTTTTTTGAATTCATAGATGTCATTTCTTGGCTATTTTATTTGATTATTTTTTTTAATAGCAACAGCTTTGATTTTTAAAATACTCGTCAAAAGAAAAAATTAGGATTTTTTAAAATCAAGCATACAAGTTTTGGGAATCACACCATTTTTTTTTTTTTGCGTAAATTAGGATGTAAATGTGTGTAAATCAAACATTCTAAAATAGCATTCACGTTCTGAGTTTTGGTCAGTTCTTTCCTCAACCAAGGTTTTAGTTCAAAGTTCTGGTCAAATTATTATAATTAGGTTAACTTTTGTTTTTAATTTTTGGTATAATTTTGAAAATAATGATTCTAATTTCTAATGCTATGAAATATACAAATAGAATATAAGTCAAAACATTAGAGAATAGAATATATTATAAGGAAAGCATCTTATCAAAGAAAGTCTAATGTTGATGTCTAACATAGCATCAAGCCATCAAGTCTGCACTAGGTAGAGCTGATGTCATTATATTTTATTATTTGTTATTTTGTTTTTAATTCTAAATTTGTTTTATTTTTTTTGTGTGGGTGGTTTCAATTAATGTTTTAATTATTTATAGCTTTTATTTAGATTTTAGGATTTTTTTTTAGAGGAATGTTTTATTTTTGGTTTGATATTATTTCAATTTATTAGTCTTTTATTATTTATATTTTTGTGAATTTATAGAAAATTTTTTTGTAAAAGGAATGTTTTATTTTGGTTTTAGTTTCTTTTTTTAAAGAATTTCCAAATTTAATGTTTTTTTTATTATTGACTTTAAATGGTATCTAAAATTGCAAAATAATTTCTGAAGTTGAGGACAACCTTATAAACATTTCAAAACATATAGAATTATTTAAATTTTATATTATTTTTTAATTATTTAATGATAAAAATTAAAATTATCATTAAAATAAGCTCCAATATTTTTGTGAAAATATTTGAAGGTTGGAGGTCACCTCAAAAAAACGTATCATAAAAAATTCAGCTCTTTGAATTTAATTTTGATTTTTATGGAATTGTATTTGATCAAATGATTATATTTTTATTTTTTAATTAAATCAACTCCAAAGTTAATGAAAGTTATCACACATGTTAGGTTTAACCCAATGTTCATCCCATAAAAAATTGTAAACAATTTGAAATATATTTTTATTTATTATGATTTATTTTATTTATGGGGGTATTTTATCAAGAAAACTGTTAAAAGGCATTTTCTGATTTAATTTTTTAACATTTTGATTTTCATTATTTCTAGTGATCATAAAGACTTCATGATTTTTTTTGGTACTTTTGTGATTTATTTTATGTTTTAAATAAATTTTAAAAATTCTATCACTTTTTTTTTTCCCTTCAAATTCTATGTCACTTAGGGAACTTGAGGGGACTAGAAATTAGGGTTTATGATATGAGTGATGAAATGAATTCAAACTTTTAAGAAAATTTTTAAATGCTTTAAAGATGATTAAGCGATGGTTTGATGAAAATTTTAATTCATTTATAGTTTTTTCATGAATTAATATGATTTATTAGTTTTAATATTGGCATATGGGTTTGATTTTAAGTAAGTTGGGTATTTTGATATCAAATCTAAACAAAATTATTATTGTTATTTTTTAGTTAAAACTCATGATAAGGCCTACGTGTTAATCTTAAAAAAATTTACAAATCATTAAATGGTTCAAGAGCTCGTTATTTGCTCATTGAGCTAAAATAAAAAAGGAAAAAAAAAACCTAGAGAGCCTATGAACCCATCTAAATTTTAAAAATAACTAAAAAAAAGTGGACAAGAAGCCACCACCCAAAAAAGCCCGAGCTTGATTCATCAATGTAAGATCCACTAGGATATAGAAATTAACCTGCAAAAAATTAAAGGAGCATACAAAATATATCATAAAATTATATAAATAATAAAGTTGATCTTCCAAATCTGCATAGATAGCAGACAACCCAAAAAGTGAAGAGAAGATTCCATATCTATCCAATAAAGTACTTAGGTGAACACACCAAGTGCAGCAAATAACACAAGAGCCAGCAACACGAAACAAACTTCATATCATACTAAAGAATATCAAACAAAGAAAGATGAGAACCAACCCAATACAACTAAGGCCCAACCTGCATCCACCACCAATCCATTATAGAACAACAACAAAATAAAGGAGTCCCATATAGTGGCATCCAATAAATTGTAGGAAGAGAAAACATATGGTCTAAGAACTAGAAACCATAAAACTTTAGAAACAGCTAGATAACAAAACTAGAAAATATATACTCAAACGAAGATAGAAAAAAACATAACTAAGAATAGTAAGCCAAGGCCCAAAACTAACTAAGTTATTCATAGATAAGGCAGCCCAGTTTTATCCAATAAAGTCATCCCCTTTAACAGGTGAGGTAAATTAGAACCAAGGTATCAATAAAGCAATGTAACTTATAACCATACCTAGCCATCTAGTCAGTTCAACAATTGGTCTCATGATAAATATGCATCAATTAAAAATTAGACAAACTAAGAAGTTTCCTAATGCTTTGAATACGATAAAAAAATTTTGAATTGGAAAATGCATCACCTTGAACAAAGTGTAAAACGAACATAGCATCAACCTCAATCCATATATGGCTAATACTCATAGCAAAACAAATGCTGAGCACATAATTATGTGCTTGGAGCTCAGCATTAAAAGCTGAACAAGTATTTAATATGGTAGAAAAAGCAAATAAACCATTACCCATATGATCTCTGATGATTCCACCACAGCCATTCGAAACTCTGTTAACAGAGCCATCCGTGTTGAGCATCATATAAGGCATCTTAAACTTTAACCACTTGGCAATCTTAGAACTACTGTCCTCATCAATACTAATAAGCTTAAAACCAAAGTTAAATGCAACAAACTTGTAGTTTCTAAAACTTGTGTAAGAAATGAGATTAACCTTGTATAAATGCTAAACTTTGTCTTTAACTTTGGAAATGATAAAATTAGAATTCATTTTAATGTCATTATGTTTGGAATCATTCCTCTCCCACCATAAATATCATAAAATAAGAATAGTAATAAGATTCCTAATATGAAATTTACTAGGCAAGAACCAAGCAGTCAAAATAGAATTAATGTTAGAACTATGAAATATATAATTAATGTATCTCCAAACTTTAATTGTGGTAGGACCACTAACAAAAACATGGTTTAAAGTTTTAATATGAAAAAAATTTGACATTTAGAAGGGATAAAAAATCCTTTGTTCATCAATAAAGCATCAGCCGGTAAGAAATTCTTCAAAATTCTCCAAACTAAAATGTAATAAGAGAGAGGGATGCTAACATGCTAGATAATAGAAAATAAAACCAATTTAGAGTGAGTGGTTCTATTGGCCTCCGAAACCTTTTTGAAAGCAAACTTACCAGATGTGGACATATTGAAAGGATACGATCTTCAATATCAGTTTGAAGAGGGATCTCCAAAACTTTTGGACAAGATGAGCAAGGATCATATCCTTTAGCTTGTTAATGTTCCAATTATTATTCATGACGAAATTGTTAATTTTTATAGAATTAGTCGAATGAGAATTTAAATAATGATCAATAGAAGACAAACCCATCCAATTATCTTGCCAAAAAATACTTTACCTTTCTGAATACATCATTGGATAAAGTTTTCAGCCTCCCATTTGATGGGACAGATTCTTTTCAAAACCAAATAGTCACCAGCTTTCCAATGGAAAATAAGAGGGTATTTACCAAAGCAATATTTGCTTAACATAAATGTATCCCATAGGCTGATGTTAGCTCTAAAAGAATACCACAACTTATAAGAAAAAAATAAGCGCCATATTGCATATACTTTTACAGCCAAGACCCCCTTCATCCACCATACCACAACAGTTCTTCCAAGAGGCCCAAAGGATACAAGAAGAATGAATATTATAATCCTATAAGAAATTATTAATCATCCTTTCCATGCATAAATAAGTTTTAAGGGTAGGTTGAATAGTGTGGAAAATGAAAATAGGCAGGGAACAAAGCACTTTTAATTAAAATAAGTATACCACCATAAGATAAAAAAATTATAAAATGAA